ACAAGCCTTGAATCCAGAATTTAAAATAGTATACAAGTGTATGTGTACACTGTACATGCACTGTACATGCAATACTGCAATACTGCAGATAGCACGCTACTTCGGCTACACAGCTGTACAGAACACACAGGATTAGATGCTACTTCGGCTACACAGCTGTACAGAACACACAGGATTAGATGCTACTTCGGCTATACAGCTGTACAGAACACACAGGATTAGATGCTACTTCGGCTATACAGCTATACAGAACACACAGGACTAGATGCTACTTCGGCTATACAGCTGTACAGAACACACAGGATTAGATGCTACTTCGGCTATACAGCTATACAGAACACACAGGATTAGATGCTACTTCGGCTACACAGCTATACAGAACACACAGGATTAGATGCTACTTCGGCTATACAGCTATACAGAACACACAGGATTAGATGCTACTTCAGCTATACAGCTATACAGAACACACAGGATTAGATGCTACTTCGGCTACACAGCTATACAGAACACACAGGATTAGATGCTACTTCGGCTATACAGCTATACAGAACACACAGGATTAGATGCTACTTCGGCTACACAGCTATACAGAACACACAGGATTAGATGCTACTTCGGCTACACAGCTATACAGAACACACAGGATTAGATGCTACTTCGGCTACACAGCTATACAGAACACACAGGATTAGATGCTACTTCGGCTACACAGCTATACAGAACACACAGGATTAGATTCTACTTCGGCTACACAGCTATACAGAACACACAGGATTAGATGCTACTTCGGCTATACAGCTGTACAGAACACACAGGATTAGATGCTACTTCGGCTACACAGCTATACAGAACACACAGGATTAGATGCTACTTCGGCTACACAGCTATACAGAACACACAGGATTAGATGCTACTTCGGCTATACAGCTGTACAGAACACACAGGATTAGATGCTCCTTCGGCTACACAGCTATACAGAACACACAGGATTAGATGCTACTTCGGCTATACAGCTATACAGAACACACAGGATTAGATGCTACTTCGGCTACACAGCTATACAGAACACACAGGATTAGATGCTACTTCGGCTATACAGCTATACAGAACACACAGGATTAGATGCTACTTCGGCTATACAGCTATACAGAACACACAGGATTAGATGCTACTTCGGCTACACAGCTATACAGAACACACAGGATTAGATGCTACTTCGGCTACACAGCTATACAGAACACACAGGATTAGATGCTACTTCGGCTACACAGCTATACAGAACACACAGGATTAGATTCTACTTCGGCTACACAGCTATACAGAACACACAGGATTAGATGCTACTTCGGCTACACAGCTATACAGAACACACAGGATTAGATACTACTTCGGCTACACAGCTATACAGAACACACAGGATTAGCTCACACATCACAACGTGTACAGGGTACACAGCAAAAACTAACCATCCACGGGCGTGCACTCTTCAAAGTCAACGCGCGGTGTCGACTTCCCTCTCGCGTGCCGACGATTTGGTTTCCGTTTGGCTTGATGAGCCGTGGGGTTATGATGCCCTGTTACGCTATCGCCGGGAGGCCTGTCCGCTGCCAGGGCTTTAGACATAGAGCTGAACCGAGAAGAGTAACAAAGCAGAACTGAGGGTCAGGGTGACCATACATGCGTGCTAAAGAGTAGAGAGTCTACAACGTATACACGGCGAGGATGATGACTGCGAGCAAGAGCGTGTAACCAAAAGTATGGAATTCTTACTTGAGCTGTGGTGAGCTTTTCCACGCTTGTCATGGACGATACTGTGTCAGATCTTCAGGTTCAGTACACGCGGATCAATGGTCCGTTGTTTTGCTTCAACAACCATAGCTGCGATGCGCAAGCTTGCACGTTTGATCTGTGCCTGGCTACTCATGATGGCATCAGTGAACCAAACGACCAAAAAAGACTGATTCCTTTAAAAACCATGTCATACGTTGTGGGATTTCTAAATTGTGCACGCTTGTTTATGAACTCTTGATACGAGGTATGAGGTAGTGGAATAAAAGCTCCAGCCTCTCCAGCATGTTTAGGCTAGCGCTCAAGTGCACAAATTAAGAAGCATTTAGAAGGCACGGAGGAAAGAAGCACTAGCTCAATACTTCTCTCTCAATGTAACGGTTACACGGATATTTTGTAGTAGGTGATAACCTGGCTACTGGCTTCATCAATGCTGGGGCGTCTGCTGTTCCCGGCCTACACCCAGAGGCAAAATAACACAACCAATATGATAGTAGAACAAGTACGCACCGTGTATTAAACACATGGATATATTACCTTAGTCGTCTCTTCTTCGCTTCAGGCGAGTAGCAATGCTCGTCGCTGTTGTTGTCGTCGTGAATGGTCTGTTCCGCATACAGACGCGGGTGAACGACTGCTGCATTTTCTTCTCCACCTTCTTCGTTGTCGGACGACGGCGGAGTGGAGAAGGAGTCAATGCCCGCCTCTACACCGTACTGGCCTGCCTTGTTAGCCACCGGTGTGCGCCTGGACGATGTTGATTTCCTCTTTGCGGATTCTGACCCTGCAAGAACGGGAGAGAATACACCCAACGATGTAAGTACCGTTCGTTCTTCCTACGACTCAAGATTGCATGCTATTGAGTTTGTGGACAGGGAACATCACAAGGATTTTGTTCATGTTACAAGTACAGTGAAACCTGGTTAAGAAGAACACTGATAAGACAAACTTTCGCTTTAGAAGAACTAGTGTTCATAGCTCTGTTGAATAAATCACTGTGTATTCACTGGGTAGAAAATACGGATAAGAAGAACTCCCGTTATTACGAACAAATACCATCAGTCCCTTGGTGTTCGTCCTAAAGAGGTTTGACTGTACCAGTAAGTAACAGTACTCACAACATTTTTTCATTAAAAAAACACATCAACAAGCCATAAGAATCATACCCATGTAAACACACTGCACTCACCATCCTTCCAATCACCTTTGCTGGCGTGGAACCACTCATGGCGCTTTGCATTCCTATAAGCCTGTGCAAGGGAACGCATACACAAACACACACACACACACAAAACAGACACAAACAGACACACACATACACAAACACACACGTACACAAACACAGACACACACGTACACAAACACAGACATACACATACACAAACACACACATACACAAACACAGACATACACAAACACAGACACACACGTACACAAACACACACACACACGTACACAAACACAGACACACACGTACACAAACACAGACACACACATACACAAACACAGACATACACAAACACAGACACACACGTACACAAACACACATACACAAACAGACATACACAAACACAGACATACACAAACACAGACACACACAAACACAGACACACACGTACACACGTAGACAGACACACACACATACACGGATACTGTCACTAAGGCTGGCCAAATAGTAAAAATGATGTATTTATTTGTCAAGCACCAAAAGGAGAACGGAGGGAATTCAAGCAGAGAGGTATTCTCAACCACTAGTAAAGCAAGCAAAGTGCCTCCATTATACCAATGGATCACCGGTTAACGCTAGTTACTGTAGTCCGTTACCTGCCAGGTTCAACAACCACTCTACCGTCACTATATATATGGACATCCAAAGATGTCATGACGTCCCAGATCTCCTCTACACGCTCTTCACAGGCCTTCCAGCCTCCAGTCTCATATTTATCTCTTCTTGAAGCCGTGAATAATATAAATTCAGGGTTCGAGCTAGGAAAAGTCTGCAGGGGGGGGGGGGGAGAGACTGAACAGAGGGGTATACCAGCCCACTGCGTGATGTAATGTACAATTCTAAACACGCCAAATATGCTGTCCAAGTCATATGCAGTATTTGGGCAAGAGACAATTTTGGCCTTTGGAGGCAAGTTGCACTCGAATTCCACTGTTACCACAGCCCTCATTGGAGGGTGGCCAATTTCCGCGGGAGGGTGCAGCACCAAAGCACCTATCCTCCTTTGCCGAGAACCCTGCAACCTCTAATCGACAGTTAAAAAGATGTGGAGCTGCTCCCAATGTTGAAGTACATGTTTCCTGTCGATTTGGCACTTGCACAATTCTAAGCTGTGTGTTACTACTGTACTAGTAATAGTATTATCAGCAAGTGCTACATCTCACTTCCTACACATGTACAAAGTGCTACATCTCACTTCCTAGACATGTACAAAGATCATGTTGCGTTGTGTTACGCACTCATGGGTGTGTCCCACATTGTTGCCAGCATGCTGTCATGTATTCACTATGGCAGTTTTGCACGCAAAGTCCCACACAATTTAGGTCTTGCGGAGAACTTCACCCTTTATCCAGCTGGTACTAGTATTATCGGTGTACATATAACTACAGTAGTGCCAGAGTTGCTCTGAGTTTGAGCTGCTACTAGCTGCTACTAGCAGCCTTCTACTACTAGCAGCCTTCATGATGTGTGCGGACTCTCCGTGTTGCTCTATTTACCCGCGACGATAATTATCAGCCCAAAGAGTGAAATAAACCAAACATTGCACTTCCATTCACTACTTGTAATTGCAAATGGGGCAGTGCTTCAAGTCGACACTCAAGCAACATGCAACCTAGCACAATGAAGAGTTATGGCCAGTGCCCGGTCCTGGACTGCCTGGCCCAAGCAGGATAGGACTGTCCATCTGGACTCCTCTTTGATTTTCTCTTTTTCTCTCTAGCTATTCTCTTATACCTTCTTCTTGCCATTATTTACTGATGTGGGGCTTCGAATAAATCATGGATTACTGTAAAATCACGATGGTGTACTGTAGTTGGAAGGGAAAGGAAGCATTTGCTCATAGCTGACCAGGTGGCACCTTTAATTTTCTGTTCATTATCTACTGCTTGCCTGGGCTATCTCCCATTCTATAGTACTTCTAATATTCTACCAAGAGTACTAGTCTCTTGATGCTACATGTGCGGCGCATCATGACACATTTCTCTGGTATTTCTACGAAACCTTTGCTTTTCACCAAATCGCAACTTGCTCTTCTCACAGCTCTGCACTTCCCTTTTCTGGACCCCGCGTACCCAAAAAGGTCCTACGGTATATTCTTGCGAATTCAACCCGGTTCACCTTCACCGTACCATGTTGCTGTGCTAGCATTTGCTTGTATCCTTTTTTTTGTTCTTCTGTTTTCCTTTTTTCTATACCTTTTCCTTGGGGCTTTCGCCAAGGAGTTGTATGTGTTTATTCCTCTGGTTGCTTACACTAGTTTTTGCTAGCGACCTGGAACTGTAAATGATTTTTTTTCTGAAATCTTACGAACACGTAGGTTTGTGTGGTACCTGTGTCTCTCAAACCCACACATGTACATAATTGTATTCATCACTATTTCGTGCGAGCACTACAAGACTTAGTGTTCATACACAAGTACATGCACTGTACCTTGAATTCTTCGTACTCGCGGCAGAAGGAATGCGACATGGCTGCCTATCCTGCGTCCATCTTGGCACCTCTGTCAGGCTCTGATACTCATCTACACTACGTTTCCTTGAATTAGTTGAAGGGGATGCTCTCACAGAAGGAAAACATGCAAAAACTATTGCCAAACAAATATAACAACAGCTTGTATAAAATTTCATGTTACTTTGAAAGCAACCTGCTGGCCTGCTTTGTATTTCGCGCGGATTTCATAAAAAATGATTGATTTCCTTCGTAAAAAGCTGATGAATATCGTAAACATTTTCAAAAAGATGATCTTGTATTTGTAAAGAAATCCAGCTACTGGCTACGAGATGTATCAAAATACTTCGTACTGAGGAAGACAGAGCTAGAGGACGGGCTTGAGTGAAGTGGAGGAGCTTGAGGGCACTAGATAAGCATTAGTGCCTGTTTGGAACCAGCGCGAAGAACTTGTGAAACTAACTTCATTTGCAGACGAAAAAGGCACGTCAAGAATGTCAGGCACTGCTCGCCATATTGCCCAGAAGCGAAGGTCTGTGCCAGGCAAGAAATTGGAGAGGAAAGAAAAAGTCTTCAATGTATTTGGCTTCAAGGTACGACCTGGCCTTCTAAGAGCTCTGGCACTATTTAGCATTCCTGTGACTTTGGCTGTGCTCGCACCAACCTTTATGAGAGAGGAAGGCAAGAATCATCCCATGCACAAAATTGAAATGCAGAGGGAAGTCAATATTGCTCGACATCGTCTTGCAGAGGAGCAACAGAGGAAACAGGCTAGAAAAGGTTGATCTCGTGTCCCATTTGAGAAGCTCAGTTTCGTTATCACCATCTGATCTTGAACATGGCAGGGATATAATTATACTGTTTGAGAGATGGCTGGCCGCATTGCCATTGGTAGATCATCCTCCTACTCGCCCTCGTTCTTTCCCACCTCAGTGCTGCATCATCATGGTCACTGCATGCTGAGCCTGTGCACACAGTCATACGTGGAAGCTGACACTGAACGCACTGACTGTATGACTACTAGTGCTACCTACTGGAGCTCAGGGCGGACTACTGGTATTGTTGGTGGTGCTGGGAATCTACTACAGTACCGCTGTGCTTGTGACTAGTATGGCCTGTGTTCCAGAACAACAATACCTTAGACCATACTCCATAGTTGGATTTAGAAGAGGTGGTGTGCAGTGCATCAATGTCCAACTGAACTTGACATTAATACTGGCTGCCTATTGGCCTCCTGCTCATGGGAGGAGTGCTAGTGGGCTGTTGTTGCTCAGTCCATTTAGACCTGTATTATTGGTCGCTTATCAATTTCTTTCGGATGCAGCGCATCTTGAATCTCAGTGTCATTCGAATATCGTCAAATTTACCCATATTGGAAGTGTTGATGCTCACCCTGGATTAGTACAGTTCCCATGCGTGTATGTAGCTAGGTCTTTACACTTGCATGCATCACAGGACCAAGCATGCAAGGGAAGATAGGAAATTAGAAATCCTACCTTTGGTGACAATCTTTCCTGAACGTGCAGGATAGACAGGGAGAAACAGACCGATGGCAGAGAGAGAGAGAGAGAGAGAGAGAGAGAGAGAGAGAGAGAGAGAGAGAGAGAGAGAGAGAGAGAGAGAGAGAGAGAGAGAGAGAGAGAGAGAGAGAGGTCAACCCGAATGTCCCACTGGCTTTACTTGATTTAGCTTTGTTGTAGTGCTCACATCATAGTACACGCTTATCATCAGGAAGTAGTACGTATCTAATATTGACTTCGTACTTGGTCAGTATAGGAAATAAAGACCTCGTTAAAGGTCTTTTATTTCCTATACTGACCAAGTACGAAGTCAATATTAGATTTATCACGACTGACCAAAGCATGTGTTCAATCGCTAAAAAGGAGTCAAATATAAGCGGTCAATATAGCCCTAAGGAGTGAAATATGCAGGAATATTTGACTGCTTAGGTATGGCAAAAATCTATGTGAGTCAATACTAAGGGAGTGATAAAATACTGTACTACTCCCTGCTTATCATATGGCTTCATTCGCGCTTGACCCACAGCAGAGAGTAAAAAAATAACTTACTACCCTCTGGTCCACAATACACTGTACATGACTGTAATACAAGGGCGTCGGAACCGCAGCGGCCATGGCCGCCCCACTTTTTCGGTTTTTTGTTTTTTTGAGCACACTGCAACAAAGCGCGATGATCTCAGCGCAAACGTGGCAAATCCTTGTCCCCGATCGTGGTTTGTTGCAGAATCAAAGAGTCTTTCATTGTAGTTACCGTACACTGAAATGGCACCAAATGCCCGGAAATGCTTGCAATTGGCTTCAATTTTTGAATTTTTTTCCCGGGGGAGGACCCCGACCCCCCTTCCATGGCCGCCCCACCTCCAAAGTCGGTGCGACACGCCTGTAATAAGAATTACAGTCAACTTCGCTTATAACGACACTCGGCGGGGCATCAGAAAAGTGTCGTTATTCGCGAAGTGTCGTTATACCCGAAGTCCCATTATATGTATTACAGTTGGATGTGACTTTGCTCTGGGCATAGAAATTCTGTCGTTATTCGCGAATTGTCGTTATATCCGCAGTCGTTATTAGCGAAGTTGACTGTATGTCATATTGCCAAACCGGGCTAGGAACCCAGCGGAAGGCACAAACAAGTATTGCCATCACTTCCATCTGCAATACAAATTACGGAAGGGGTAGAATGGTAGAAGGAATGTGTAGCAATGGGTGCTGCATACCAGGCTGGAAAATCATGCAAATAATTTTTTTGTACATGTAGGCTGGGAACTAAGATGTGTGTGTGTGTGTTTTAGTGTAAAGCTGTGTACTACCCATGGTGCACAGAGTAAGAACAACTTGTGACGAGTTGACTTGAGTTGAATTTAAAGCAAAAACACCACTATGTGTAGCCTTTAATAAAATGGAGACCCGTTCTTCCGCTCCCAATGTCACTGCACTTTAAAAGAACATGCTCCCAGCTTCTTTCTCTAACTAGGTATAGATTGCTGTGGAAGCGAACTCGCAATTTTCCACTCTTCTGTCTCCATCTCTTCTGCCATGTCACCCTATGGTATTACTAGGACGTTGGCCAGCTGAGCAGCGTTGCTAGGACGATGGCCAGCTGAGCAGCGTTGCTAGGACCACAAAGGCAATACCGTGGCTGGAAAGTTGGCCAGGTCTTCCGCAACTGCTGTTGTGAGCAGTGCGTGGAATGCATTACGGCAATGAGTGAACTTGAATCGTGTTGTTGCTGGCACAATGATCATCACGGCGTCTGGAGACAACAACCCTGATGCATCAGTGCTGGCATGACATCACAAATAGGACGGTCGGATGTGATTTCGGTGAGGTCTGGGTGAAGCTGTTATTTGGTGGAAGACACTTATCGAGGGCAACTCCAGCGGCTGAGGTGACTCCCGCCTGCCATATGCAGCAGCAGCTCTTGGCACTGTTGATGTGACTGAAGGGGTCACAGTGTACGAGGTGTTGACTACACTCGGACGGGCAGTGCTAATGGCTGGCAAACGTAGTGCACGATCATCGCGGTGCTGGAAGGATGTTGGCATCTGTGGAAGCACGCCATGACCACGTCGATCTGTGGCCACGTTCATGTGACTGTAGGATGGCTGGTGAGTGTCTCGGCCGAGTCCACTGGCTGCAGCCGGTGCTTGCCTGCCGCACAAGTCCAGGTGATGCGGGGAGTGCTGCAACGATGCATCGAGATGCATTCTATACCGGTCCTGATCCTCCTTGACTCGCTCAATGGCTTCTCTAACTATCTTCAATGCCTGCCTGAGCTGTGTGCTGTACCAGTAATCACAAGTTGCTTTCTCCCCTCTTCTTCTTCGTTTGTCTGTGTGCTGCCTATAAATGACCAGGAAGCGCAGTTCGTGATCAAGCATTGCCAATGTCTGCTGAATCGTATCCAAATAAGGCACGGTGAACCTGCCGCTGACAAATGGTTCGTCTGGAAAAATATTCCTAAAGTATGGACACGCATCCTTCAGGTTTTTATAGATAAAGTGCCCAGACCGGTCGAAAACATCAAACCCAATGTCACGGCCCGCCTGATACTGCCGAGAGCTGTTACCATGCCGACTGTGATGTCGACGGCCATGGCGGTGACGGTGGGAGGCCTTTCTCTTGCCCGTCCTCCTTCTCCTGACCTGACGACGTCGACGCTTTTGGCGGTGTTGCCGGACGGTCACTGCAGACATGCTCGAACAGCTCCGCTTTCTCGCACCACCACGACGACGGTAACGATAGCACGGAAAATCACGGGTGCAACAGTGCGACGTACGGTGAGACGACCTGCTACCACAAGATGATCTGCTGTCCCACGATGATCCACTATCGTATGATGATCTACTGTCACAAGTGGATCTACTACTGCATGATGACCTACTATCGCATGATGACCTTCTACAGTGTGACGGCCTTCTGCAGTGCGAAATATTGTGCGATCGTGCACAAGTATTACAGCACGGTGAGCAGCGCGTTGTGCAACGGGATGATCTGCACCGAGTCGCCGGCGAGATCCGACTCCAGCTCAATTCACGACAGCGCCTACTGTTAGTCCTGGATACGCTGCTACGTGTGTCGGCACAAGTGGCAACTGTACCTGCATGTCCAGCACATGAGCTAGATATGCATGTGCACAGCTCAGATGCCGGACTGCCGCAATAACGGCAACTTTGAAACGACAGTGATGACGCAGCTGCAGCGGTGGTGTACGAAGACACACTATGGGCACATGCGAAGCTCGACCAAGAACTGGACGCAGCTACCGTAGTAGAAGCAGCGGCCGACCGGTGAGGTGACATCGGTCTCATTGTACTGTTTTCAGCGTACAAACAAACCCACATGGCAGTTCTTCTGATCGTCTCCGAGTCATGAGCAGGAGCGGTGGGAACAGGATGGTTATGCTCGCCACCATCAGCTCCGGGTCCAGGTTCACGGACACGAGGGCCGTGGTGGTGTTGCATAACGGCCACCATATCTGTACATGTATCACCCTCCCCCTCAGCACGTCCTCGTCGGTTGGGTTCGTCCGCCTGAACATGTATTTCAGAATCATGCCACGTGCCGGGGTCGCGCAGGGAACCGCTGCTGAGCCTGTGCTGGAGCCTGGGCACGGGTGCTCCTGGCATGCCGTCTGACATGTACTCCGAGGAATCGTAGTCTGGTAATCTGCTGTTCTGCCTGTGCATCGTGCCAACTCACTCGCAAGTGTAGTAAGTTCCCAAGGCTAGTATCTATGCGTCGCCGTCGGTCCAGCTGAGTGCACGGTGGGGAAATACCTGCAACTATTGGCCCTGTCGCCTCCAAGCTCCGACCATCACTCATCAGCTAGCTTTGCGAGAACAGCGAGCACCGCGGTTGAGCACGCTGCACAGTGCCTAGCAAAAGCCGGAAAAGCCACTACTGCTACTAATAGAGTACTCTTCCCACAACACGAAAATTCTTCGCGAGCTCAACTCAAGCCAAGGCTTGAGTCTTGAGGGCTCTAACACTGTCAAAACAGAACTATGAGTACAATATCGTCGATCATCTCAAGCTTTGCGCAAAGGCAAAACATACTGTAGCAGCTAATCTTCTGCGCGAAGGCGAAACTAGCATATCCGCGTTCCCTTGCCTTTGGTTTGTGCTCCTGTTGCTAGTGCAGTAGTGGAGGCACGTTGACTTCGGAAGTAAGAAGACCAGGTTTGCCCCCGAGACTCTGACAGACCAACCAGGAGAACAGTGCAGTTCTGAAAAGCACAATCTGAATTAGGCTGTGCAGTGCCGGCATGCCGTGGATCTATCCCTTGGCACAACTCGCGACAGCGACGTTATCGGCGCTGCGTTGCGACGCAGACGATCCATGCCATCACCGTTTTTCTCTGCATATGCATAATGCGTTAATTAATGGTGGCCGTGGCCGCGCCGAGCGACACATCCAAAACTCGATGAACGAGTCCCAAAAAGGGTGGATCATGGACCATTGTCATTGGGACCTTGGACTTGGTGCCAGATGGACATACATGTAGACCATGGCAGACCTACACTGCACTGCTGCTGTATGCTAGGCCAGGCAGCTAACACCATGATCACTGGACACCGCACGTCCGTCCTCCGCCATGTACCATGATGTACACACGGGTGTGTGGCTGTGGTGTGGCAGTGAAACGGTCTATCGAAGATACAGTGCAGGATTCGTTCTACTCCTACTTGTACTCCCGCTGTCCTCCTACCTGGCTGTAGTCCTAAGTCCTAGGCTACATGCTACATCATCATGGTCATGTCATGTAGCTAGATCCTGCAATTCCGTGGCCAAGCCATGCGAACGGCCGGCTAGGCTAGCCAAGGATTAGGTGACGTCATGACCAAGACGACTACACCACTGCGGCACTGGCGCGGCATGGCACTGACCCTGACATGACCAGGCTAGGCAAACAGTACTGTGAGTCTCAGGGTCACATACAGTAGAGTCGCTCGTCGACGCGTCCAAGAACGTGTCATTGTTTGCAAGGGGTTAGCCTAGGGCGTTAATGTTTCAGTTCTTAGAACCAGTTCGTATACACGTACTGGATCATGTGTATCCCAAAAGCTGCCGGAAAACCAACACCAACACCGTGTGGCGTTCTTAGCATTTCAGGCTGGACGTTCTAGGGCTCCACATTCTTCGGGGCACGACTCTACTGTTGTGTTCTGCGCTGCTGGAGTACACGTAAACACCAGGTTTTCCAAATGAATAACCGAGACACTTGCCAGTGCTACTTGCTCTCTCCGTGATATCAGGGAATACACACACACACACACACACACACACACACACACACACACACACACACACACACACACACACACACACACACACACACACACACACACACACACACACACACACACACATACACACACGCACGCACATGCACACACGCACACTGTACTACTGAGAGGTGATATGTTGAGAGGCGTAGATTCAATCGTAACATTAAAATACCGGTGCGGTCATAACCCAGTTAGTAACCAACATCTTCATCTGCAAGATGTGTTAGAAGTGCAAACAATGTCAAGATCAAAGCAAAAGTAATCCCAAAAATTTACCTGAAGGCAAGGAAGGCAAACACACGCCCAAAGCTACCAGACTAAAAAGGGTGCTATTAAAAAGGCTGCTGCTACTGGTGGTAAAAGATAATAAAAAAACAGATTGGGAGAGATTTTCTGCGGCAGAAAACGGTTTGGGACTACGTTTCTAGTGTTTTATGTCTGCTTGTTGCAACCAGAGCAGTGGCAGCAGCAGCATGTCAGGAGAGTTGAATAAAGACAGCTTCATGGATAACCATCATGGATACGTGGGGAGAATACGGAACGGACTCATGGTCACACCGCGGGCTGAAACCGACGACAGGAGATCAACGCAAACTGGGCATACGCACATACGCCGGCTGGGTGCAAAAACGCACAGGTATGTGGCATCATAAAAATTCTCCGAGAGTTGCGTGCACCGTGAAAGCAAGTATGGGTCAACCACTGGACAGGTAAAAAATGGGCATTGGAAAAAAGAAAAAAAAAGGTCGCTGCTGCAGCTGTATAAGAGAATGTGAGACTGTGAAGCACTGCACAGGTCAGACATAGGCAGGGGATAAAAATATACAAGACCCAAACTGATCTCATTATCAGAAATATAAAATACAGGAGTTAGTATGTACAATACGCAGAAGACGGATAGCGGCATTAGGGATCCCTGCTAAGAAGCATCACCAGCACCAGCAGCAACACCACAGCACTGTATCAGGAGTGCGAGCGTGTGTGCATGTGTGGGTGGGTCCGGGCATGTCCGTATGTAGTTACGTGTGCAGCTGTTGTATAGCGCTGATTAAATAACTCTGGAAAATGGCGGATGGGCAATGATGGAGATAAACCTGGCTGAATAGCTTTCTCTCTCCGTCTCAATTATGTGGCGTCAAGGAACATGGCTGTTGTGTGCACGTGTCCATAAAACCATGGAGTATATGGCAGAATTACCCGATGATTCGGACGGATGCACAGTCGTCATAAAGCGGCGTCTTCCTCGCCGAAACTTGGTGATATTGTGTGGTTACTGAAGAAAAAGCATGGCTGTTGTATGTGCAGTGACGGACACTATGGGTGATGGGCACTGACGGCCCTGCGGTAGGCTACTGCAGTGAGGGTGAATCATGGCCTTCTGAAACGGACGCAAGTTCATCAACACCAGACTGCAGTTGGTCTGAGGCTACTTCGGCGACCTGCTCGAGTGCAGCTGAATCACTTGGTTGGGATGAGGCTGCTAGCAACGGCTCCTGATCACTATCAGCGGTGACGGCGACATCTCTACCAGCAACATGCTCATCCAGAACACTGCTACTGCGCGAAGACACGGACTCGCCAGCTGACGACAGTGTGTCACTACTACTGTTGGCTAGGTCAAGCAGTGCCGACGGCTGGACAAAGGCAGCGGGCTCATCACTGCCATTCGAAACATTGTCCTCTTGCTCTTGCTCCTGCTCGCTGTGACTACTACCATCACACGGCGCATCCAAAGATGGTGACGGTAGGAGCACTGCTTCCTGCGTACAATCGCCAGCTATGGACGGGGATGGTGGGGGCAGATCGGACAGAGGTGATGAGGGCACAGGGGACGGAGGACACGGTGGCAAATCGGACGGAGGTGACAGTGGCAAATCGCACGGAGGTGACGATAGAGGCAGATCGGACGGAGGTGATGATAGGGGCAGACCGGACGAAGGTGATGATAGGGGCAGATCGGACAGAGGTGATGACAGGGGCAGATCGGACAGAGGTGATGATAGGGGCAGATCGGACAGAGGTGACGATAGGGGCAGATCGGACAGAGGTGACGATAGGGGCAGATCGGACAGAGGCGATTGTACAGGCAGAGGTGATGGTGTCCTGAAACCCATCAGATCTTGCCCGTCTGTTACCTCCACAGCAGTGTCCGTATCATCAAGCAACAGACTGCAACGAGTGCCATCAGTGGCTGTTGAAGCGTGACCCTCCGGCACAGTCACACCTTCAAGAAGACCACTAGAGTCAGGACTATCCTCCACCAGCACCAGAAGTGGTGCAGCATCAGCCTCTCCCTGATCACCTCCACCTGTGGCCACACCCTGCAGCGTATCACTAGAGGTAACCTCGCCAACCGCAACACCTTCCGTCACTGAAACCTGACTAGGACGAGCGGTCACTGCCTCGGGGGTCTCCGCTACTGACGCGGACGGTTCTACACCTTCGGCAACATGTTGGTCTACTACATTATCAACAGTATCCGTATGCTCGGTGGCACTGCTGATCAGGTCCTCCACGGTGCTGTCGCTATTTGCTTTCACGTTGAGCACACTGCCATCATCAGCTGGTGTAGCCGGCGCCTCAGCGCTACCTTCTACAGCAAGGCTGTCGCTGGCAGGCATCTCGACCGTTACGTCTTCCCGCGGTGCAGCAGGAGCGGACACACTCGTCATCTCCAAGTGTGAAGTGACAGTAGACTCAGCATTGGGAAATACTTCAGCTGAAGTAGCTTCCAGAGGAAGCATAGTCGAGGCACAGGACGATGAGTGGTGTTTGTCATCAGCTTCACTATCATTAGGCTCTCTGTCAAGTGTCATCTTGGAGCCAGGCTCGCCATTGTCATCAACAGGCAGAGGCGTTGACGAGTGTAGTGGTACATCACTGGAAGCTGGCATAGTTAAACTCTCAGGGGCTTGTGATCCATGTGATCCATGTGCTGGCGACACATAGCTATCACCTGCGGCTAGGACACAAGCTAACATGTCTCCGCTGTCCGACTTGGGAATGACCCCTTCTGCAGAGGCCGCTGCGCCATCCACCGCGTTGTCATCCTGGTTTATTTGATGACGCTGCGTGTCGGGAACGGACGTAGAAGCCGGCAGCGTACCAGAATCTGCGGTAGGTGGTCTTCGCCGTAACACCATAGAGCCGGATGATTGGCGACTGGAAAACGGGAAGCTGGTGGAGGAGCCAGGTTCCATGCACGATGTACTGCCGTGTGCGCGCCGCCGACTGCTCGCCAATGATGCTGCGCTGTCAGGTGCCGCATCGGCAGGCGCTCCGGATAGATGGTATGCTTTGGCCTCGCCGTCTTCAAATGACCAGTGCAATATGTGCTGACTGTAGCGCACGTTCATGCCTGGATGACCCAGTGCCACCACGTCTGAACCGAGCCGCTGCAGGTTAAGCGAGCGTGTGGGTGTAGTGGGTGTTGACGACCCACCAGGTGGACTGACAACCGACGAGCGTCGTCTAAGGACCGCCGCACTGGTATCAGGAATGGACGAGTCTTCGCTTGGCGTTGCCACTGCTGCCGATACCCCGGTTGTGGACACGGACGAGGATGGCCCGGTTTCTGACTCGGATTCGTCACTGGACGTGTCCCCGTGTGCGTACTTCTCCAGGTCCTGGGCAACATCGTCATTGCCTGTATCACCACTAGCAGCCGCAGATGCTTCGGCGGCCATTGAAAGATTGGTTTCCAGTTCCTCGTTGGTGCCCGTTTCGTCAATGGAGTACGGCAATGTCCCATATCCACTTGCAGCACCTGGTGACGAAGCTGCGGCACTGGGCCCGCTGTGAAGCATTCGAGACGTTTCCCGCGGCGTAATCAGACCGCTAGCCTCCACAGGCGATGCCTTGTTGATGCGCACGTGCAACCGAACATCCACAGTGGTCACAATATCGGTCGGCAGGCTGATATCTACCGCCACCTTCTTCTGTTTCCTGAAGGGCAGGTGCATGAACGACCGAAATCTTCCCGATCGTCGGCTTGGGTCACGGTGGTGCTCCAACTTGGGCGTGGTCAATGTACTTGCTCTCGGCTTGGCCTTGCGCGGATTGGTGACGACTGTCGTGCGAGGTGACGGCTCCTGCATGGAGCTACTGGAAATGTGACTGCAGTCGGACATGCTGCGGCGTACTTGATGCCGGTCTTCAGAGCTGGCCATGGAGAGGTTACAGGCAGATTGTGACGATGTCAGCGCATTGCCTGATTTCTGCACCTGTGGCAATCACATAGAGCAACACACACACACACACACACACACACACACACACAAGGAACACACATCAATCAAGGCAAATCAATACATGACTAGTGGTACTGGCCAAGCCGGACAGATAAGCTAGAACACCCCCCCCCCCCCAAAAAGACAATGCCAAACACAATGCAAAGCATGTATACGTCAGTGCACACTGTATCCTACATGGCAGGCACGTGCATGTGTATATGTATGTGCATGTGCATGTGTCCATATACTGTACATGTAGTCAGTGCTTGTGGAGTTCATTGTTTGCCACAGGGTCAATGTCAAGTGTCATTCTTTATTATGTAGCGCAAAATGACACCATTGTTGGTCAGCATTGTCCGTCAGCATTGTTGGCCAGCATTGCCGGATCACTTACATGGCCAGGGATCGTGGCAATTGACAAGTTTTCCTGGCTCTGCGTGCAGGAATCGTCCGATTCAGGCTCGGGCGCTGGAATTGCAGGCCGCGTTGGGATGGTGCATGGATCCGGCTCTGGGCCCTTCATGGCATCCAGGCCATCCTCGCCAAAGAACCAGTCAACACGCTCAATCAGCCACTCAATGACCTGGGCTGTGCGACGGATCAACATCAAGTTGACAGGACTCGACCCATCGTCTCGAATCCTGCACAGACACAATGCAAACACACCGGCAATCCAACCAAGCGATGGCCACAACATTCGGGGGGCAATGGCATCTCTTGCGCACCAGCCCAGGAACAAACCAAATGACCTAATTAATATTATGCCAAGCATCTTGCAGTCCAGTGATACATAAACATAACTGTTAAGAGGTAGCGTTGCATGTCACTTACCAAATAACTACTACAATGATTCGATTTCTGAACTAACGAAAAACAAAGAATTCAAACTCCAGTGGAAATCCTGTTGGAGCTTCGCACTACTTTGCAGTATGTTTCGTATTAGAAGGGTATGCATGCCAACTCCGGCATGCATGTCATCACTGGCTGGCACTAGGTCTGTCCGGGAGCTGGAGAGGGGGCTACTGTTGGTGCCTCTGAGCGCCGATTTAACTTGTGTGAACCAACCCTAACTGTAGTTGGCTGTCGTAAGCAATTTCACCTGCCCTCGCTGACTACTTACTGAAGTAAGTTGGGTGCCCAGACGATGGAGAGATTACGGGCGTGCATCTCCGTCTCACTGCTTTGCCGTGCAAGTCGATTCAAATGACGCATCAAGTGCTCAGTACACCTAGAACAAAGATGAAATACACCATTTGTATAACACAGCTGTCAGATGATCCCAGTATTGATCTAGACAGTGAAATGCAGCATGCTGTTGTTGTGCTGGACTTGAACACATGGGCATACTGACAGTGCGTAAGCAAGTGGTGACAGTAAGTTATGTGAGTGGTGTGAGCGAGTCAGCGAGTGAGTAACTGAGTGAATTGAGAGAGAGAGAGAGAGAGAGAGAGAGAGAGAGAGAGAGAGAGAGAGACGGAGGGAGGGAGAGAGACGGAGAAAGAAGGAGAGAAAAAGAGGGGGGGGGGGGGGGAGAGATGGGGCACGGGTATGGGGGATAGACCTACCGGAGGTGAGGCGGTGGCAGCTTGGCTAGGCACCGGGCAAGAGCCATATAACATGCGTCCGGATCAGGGTGGGTCACAGCAATCTGTCACACAAACATAACGCCATTGAGCATTGCACATCAAACCATTGGAACCTGAACAACAGATGAACAGCCTATCAAGAGATGAAGGTCAACAACATGAATACTTCCATGCAAAGACAACACTTGATGGCAAAGACATGAGTCTGTCCAATCCTAAGATGGCTTCTGGATTATGATAACAAGTTCCGTAACTTACGCAGAAATCATCAAAAAGGTCATATGTCAACAACGGATTAGGTAGCTCTCTGGACAGAAGACACAGTAGAGAAAGAAGAGAATGTAGCGTTGACACTCTTCAACCCATAAACCACCAAGTGATGGAAATGCGCTCGCTGTGCCTCATTTCAGGCATAACCTCAGTCTTGATCAACCAATTTCCACAATCTACCAGCCTAAACTGCCAAGAATCAGAACCGGCTTTAAACATACTCCTTCAAAGTACTGGCACGGGTGTTGCAAGAATCTGATGAGACAGCTTGGTACTCCCATGATGTACAGCTATCACTTGCTGTGTTTCCCACCAGTCCCAATAAGCTTCATGAGCTTCACGCAGCGCCCATGTGTGTTAACAGTCGAACAAGTTGCTTTTCGAAACCTTCAAAGCGAGTATAACTCATACTTCATATTCAATTTGTTTTCACATGGTCACTATTTCCTTCTGTATCACAATACCGAAAATGCCGCAAGGAGCTCTCGCCGAGACCGTTTTAAAGCGCTACTGTTCGTCACCATCAGACAAAGCACTCCAGAAGAAAGATTGCTTGTGCAGTGTAGTGCCCAGTACATATGCACTGCCATGCTAAGTAGGTGAATGCATTCGTCAGGGCTCAAGACACCACGGACACAATGACTAAACTAAAAAGGGCCACCGTAAATCTGTGGAAAATGGTAATCTGACAATGACGTTAAATGTTTCCGAAACCAATGGAGCATTGCCTCACCCGAAGCACTTGAAGTAAACAAATAATAATTGATATTCATTCAGACCGTTACATTAGTGTAATCCGGTGGGTCCCAAGCCCAAAATAAGCCACGGCATATGCAATACACTGCTCGGGCAACAAACTAAGCAACAGAAGCATCAGCAACAGCTGCTTACCGGAAATATAGCTTGCACAAGCTACTGACACAGTGCTGATCAGCAAGAATGTTGTCTCGCTCCAATTCCGGTGTGCCATAAAGTGATGCCTGCTCATATCCCTCCCTGAACAGTAAACATTTCAAAGGGAAAATGATTAGTTCAATACTGCTGCTGTTTCGACCAAACTCTTCTCGAACGTAAACAATAAGCATGTTTCAGCTCTTTAATAGCTCGCAAACTCCATCATTGCGAAAACCTTTGCCAAATTGAGCCAAAGGAGTGAAAAGAAAAAATACAGGAAAAATCTGATCAACCAACTCACTTGAGGCTATGAATGTTGCTGTTGATGCCGTTCAAGCGGTATATCCCGACCACCACACCGTGCTTCTCGACGAATGCAGTGCAATCGCGTACAACCAGCGGCACTGCCCACAGGACAAACAAACAAGAGCAGAGCAACAATCCAGCGAGGTCAGTGCGTGCCAGCGTGTAGCATCACCGGCCATTACCAGGCTGCACAGCGCAGCCTGTAAACTCATAGTATCCCTGCACATGACCTACTTACACAGGCACTATAGCAGTACAGTGTTCAATCTCCTACATACGCTATGACCCATTTCATGCATTGCACAATGCACACTGACTTTGGCATTTCTACTTGCTCCGTACCATACACTCTACTATTTTTTAAATGTGTCTTTGCATGGCAGCGCTCCGCTTTACACTACTCTTAAGGTCAGCTTTCACTGGCCAGCATTCGTATATTGCCCTAGGGCCCTCGTGTTCTTAGAACACACTCATCATGTGTGCAAGCAGGGTGGTGCATGCCGTAAAGCTCATCGCCAAACAGGCTCTGGTGTGGTGCGTGTGGTCTACCTGTGAAGCATGTTGATTTGATGCCTTGACTCAGACCTATCCGATGACAGTCCAACCCAACAATCACTATATCGGCTGGGCCGGAACATATCTGGTGACAGTCCAACTCAACAATCACTACATGTATATAGGCTCCGCCGGACCTATCTGATGACAGTCCAACCCAGCAACACAATATCATCAGCTGGGCTGGGGTCAAGCTACTTCCCGCTGGCACGAAGCAGCAAGCATAGAACATGCAATCCTCTCACCTCCACCTTCATTCACATAACTCTGTGGCGCTGGATCACCAGACAGGTTTGTTTGATAAACATGCGCTCCCAGATCACCTCCAAACAAGCGGTCTCTGACAGATGTAAAACACAGCAAAAAAAGCAGGGAGACGAGAAAATGGAACACCCAGCAGCATGCTGCAGACAAGGAGATCTGCCATGAGCAAGAGGGGTGCCATCCTCCTGCCATACAATGCTATCACTTATCAAAAGCACTGTCCGTGTCCATCAGTATATGCAGTGGATGGACATTGAGTCACGACAACATGGAATGTTATCAGAGGGCGCGGAAACTCGACATACAGTTTAGTTACTTTACTGGCACGGAATGCCCAACAACCCACAAGCCACAAGCTGATGGCACCGTATCATTACCCAACGCCTCCACGACTTACGGTCTAGCCAAGGAATCCCTGCTGCTTGATACATGGGATGGCAAACTGGGCTTCGGGTTCGTCTTTGTAACATGCTTTTCAGTGAGTGAAGCTGCACACAAAAGCAAAATAAAGCAAGATTCCCAACAAAACTGAATTAAAATACTAGTATCCAATATACATGCTTTCGATGACAAAGATCCAACAACGAAATACTCAGAATAAAGATGGTCAAAAACCTAGTACAGGCTATCTGGCCAGCAGGTATCATGAGGTTTGAATCACTTTGTTTGACTTACGACGTCGGCCTTTCTGATGTTGGGCAGGCGAAGTCCCTTTCTCTATCAGCTCCACACACTCTTGAGGGAAAAAGCCGACCTACAGGAGACAAGGGAAAGCAAAATTTGCGATGACATACAGAACAACAAGGACAATCAAGTCTTGTTTGCTGCTACTTAAAGTTTCATGCTCTCGCAATCATCAGGCAACATGAGGATGGGTGCCGACCATGCCGGTATATATGCCATACATACGATACGATGACATACATGTATGTACAGTAACCCTGCACAGAAAGGCATCATTAGACACTACAATCTCTGTCGCAATCTGTGTCTCACCATGCCTGAATGGATGCACAGTACCAAGCTGTCTTCTTCAACATTTACTGGATTGAACCCAGTGCCATGGTCGTACTTACCTTGAGACCCTTCTTGCCGCGCCACCATTGAGAAACACCCGGTGGAGGCATGTCAATGATGGACACAATCGTCCCCACCTGCACACACACACACACACATGCACACACATACACACACACACACACACACACACACACACACACACACACACACACACACACACACACACACACACACACACATACACACACACACAAACATGCACACACACACATACACACACACACACACACACACACACACACACACACACACACACACACACACACACACACACACACACACACACACACATACGCACATGCACGCACACACAGAACAGAGCACAGCACCGGTTGACAGCGAAGACGGTCATCAAAACTACACACGCAGCAGCGCTGTGACACGAATACACCAAGAGTGCATATTCACTACCCAATGATCAGTAGCTCAAAGATCATCTGAACATGCTGCAACATTGGCAGAAGTGGATTTCGCCACGCATTTCTTTTTCCCTGGGGTAGGATGCCTGAATGAGAACACATGGACATGGCCCAAAGGTTCACTACCCAGTTCCATCAAGTCACCGGTCCACCGTATTCCTGTTATGTCTGTGCAAAGCTCCCCTGGGTCTACAGGGGCATTGGCACCGGTGCGGTAATAGTTTAGTCTTGTGATTTTTGAAGCAATAAAATATGGGACATTCGGGCCCAATTTTCCAAAACAATTCCCAGGGTGCCGCCTCTTCTTGGCCGCACCAATGTCGACTATCTTCCGACGTGCGGAGTTGACCTGTTACACCAATGTACTCTTCGTGGCACCCCCCCCCCCCCCCCCCCCCCCCCGGGAAACCACACACATACAATACATGTATTGCCGCCAAAGAACTGGTGTGCTGCGCTCAAACCTAGAGTGGACAATCTACACTGGTCGCCCTGGATACACTAAGACAGACTGCCACTCTGGTAAAAGAACAAGTGATGTACGTAATAAGAGAGGACACTTAACATGCCACCGAGCAAGCTTTGACCGTATGCTTCACTTACCGCTAATGGCAATTCATCCGGCTGACTTGATTGGAACGGGCGGATGACTCGCGCCGCTGCCTTGCCGCGTACGTTAATTCCAGACCTGTAGGAGGCATGGCGGCGATTACCCTCCTTGGAAACCTGCACACATACACGTATGTTGCATAAACACACACTTAACAGTGAGTGGAAACTTCACACAGTTGGTACAGCAACTAGATCTCTCTGGATGCTACCAAGCCTGTAATGGTGGTAATGGTGATGACTGGTGTTGCATCATCAACGCCAGGATTAACGACTGTGAAAGCCGTGCCGAGGTTATGATGGTTAGCTGGGAGAAAGTGCCTGAACGGACAGCAATATCATCAACATTGAAGGAAGGAATATCACTGCTCACATAGCTTTGTGTGTTGCTCCCTACATGGGAGCTCGCGGTTTTCCTGCCGACTTGGATTCTCACAAAAAGAAGTCGCATCAACCTTTTTCTTCACATAGCTTTGCTCAGACAAATCCTCCATCACCAGCAAACGTGCATTACAGCGCCTAGCCTCACCTCAAACCACTCCAGAATAGAAGCGCAGTTTATCCTGCCCATGCCAATCTCCAGTAAGTGATGCAGATATTGGGAGAGCGTCAATTGCAGCCGTTTCTCCTCTACCGCTTGAAGGGAATCAACAGTGTCAGGCCTAAGCGCTGCAAGCTGTGTATCGGTGCGATTATATATACATCTGCAGAAACGAAGGGATGAGACATACAGCAAATCAACCACTGAGCAAACATAATTACTTACTAGTGGCAGACTGGGCAACGCAAATACAGATCAGTGTGTGTGTGTGTGTGTGTGTGTGTGTGTGTGTGTGTGTGTGTGTGTGTGTGTGTGTGTGTGTGTGTGTGTGTGTGTGTGTGCACAAGAACACTGTCACATGAACAATTCCTGGAGTCGTTCCCGAAGCAGCGCATACACATAGCTATTGCCCTACAGACTCACAGCAACTACAGTTCTCGAGCATTTGCCAAGAACTCCCTGTGACTGATACACCAGCGAGCACACCCCACCACCCTACCACCCCACCACCCTACCTGTGACACAGTTGATCAAGGGCGCAGAAGTCATCATAGCCACGGTACACAAACCACCAGCTGCCATTAGAGTAGACCTCAACCTGTGAGCACAAGAACAAGACATGTACAGTGAGTCGTGACCATACATACTTGTTGTCATTCTGCTCGTGTGATTATGACGTGCACAGAGCAACAAATCTGGCCGGTTAGGTATTGACTGGACCGGTTTTCAGTCCACCAACCATGCAGCAATCATAAGGCCACACCAAGTTCATTCTATGTTTCGCGTCGGACATTTTCTGGAAAAGGCACGCAGGCGGGCGACAAAAAAACAAAAACAGAGGAAAAAACAAAACTCCATTCTATGTGTACTGAGCAGTGTTGCACACAAAATAGCACTGCTAAACTATCACTAAGTCTTAATATCCAAAACGACAAGTCGCCACAGGACAGCTGGCAGACTGGGCAGGAGCGATACAATAACAGATTTCCTGGATGGCTCCTTCTGCACTTTGACATGAGTGGAGTGGAATTCCGCTCCATCACGATCGTGGAAAATCCCGACGTCCTTAACACCTGGAATCTCTGCTCGCTTGGTGAGCAGGCCCTACAGTACGGCTTGGAAAAATAGAAATGTTCATGGCTCTCACCTTCTACGTACCATCGCCTGAAAGGCAAAATTATCGAGAAGCTGATAACCTCTGATCTGCCATACTGGCTAGAGAATGTTGGCCAGAACAGCCATCGATTGGCTCGTCTCGGTTCTTTTTTTTCTTGTCAAGGATCCGAAAAGGTACGCGCGCTGATAAGAAGAGCTTTTGTAGCTTTCGTTGTACTGGCTCCAGAACTAGTGAATAGCCTTCTAGTTGCCTTTTGTTCCTTTCACTATTAGTTTCGCTTGGATGATAGCATTGTGGTGCTTCTCAATGCTCTTGCTGCATCTCTATTTAGCACTTAGTTCTGCTTCTTTTGGTGCGTGACGGACATTGTTCTACTATACAACAATTGCGCGTGTATTATGTCCGTGTTGCAAGCTTTGTACGCTGCTCGTGTATAGCAGTTACATTTATCGATAGCAATAGCTGCTGCTCCTTTCCCTTCCGTAGCGTAGTGTAGAAAGTTACTAACCCCGCTGTCACACTATGAGTTTTCAGGCAGTTCTTTTTTACCTCAGCCGTGAGAGGTTTGCATTTTCTCTGCTTTCGCGATGAGTTGTCAAAGTTAGTTGACAATAAGAAAAGATCAACGTTGTCGTGTGAGTTTTTGTCGTGAGCAAACTGGGCTCCGGGTTCGTCATCATCAAATTGGTAGCAGACCGGATGGTTTTTACTAGAGTGATCCACGATTAGTTGAGATGGAGCAACAAGGCTCCAACGAACCGCAGGAATCCAGGAGCGAGGCTCCACCGTCGGAGGTAGTTGCAGACGATACTGCAAGCACAGGGAGCTGCCGAGATCAAGACGCTCAGCAGACATCCGATGTGCCACCAACGCAAGGTGGGTCGGGTGATGCCGGTGAAGCAGGATCGAGCATCCGTGCGCTCCGAGCCAGGAAAACGCAGGACAAGAAGCAATTCACGAACATCCGACGAGGGCTGATAGTAAAAGCCCACAAGTGCAGATGCGATGCACGGACGATGAGAGCTATATCGATGTCGAAAAAGAAATGAACGAGCTCGAAAGATCATATGAGAGAGCGGAAGGGACGATCACAGATCTAGCTGGTTTATACGAAGCAGAGAGCAATGCGAGAGAGAAGGATAAGATGATTAGTGAGCTAGAAGTACTCCAGAGGCAATTTGACGAAGCGACGGACTTGGCGTTTGAAATTGTAAGAACAACTCATCGCGTGCCAGTCGCCTCAGCTGAAACGCAGCAGTATACTGGTAATTCGTATCAACAGTGCCGCGATGAAGCCAGGGAAATCGGTGGCTGGTGGCCAGGACATGTTGACAGCAATGAACTGTCCGCAGGACCACTTCGGTTTGAGTCACAACCGGGATTGCTGGCCAGATCGCTAAAACAACGAGACGTGAACAGGTCCGCCAGCGGAGATGCAACAAATGCAACTGATCAACAACTACGTTTTGACACGGATGACCGCACAGCAGTATCAGGGCATTCATTGGCAGTTCAATCCACCAGCCGCTCCACACTTCGGAGGATCGTTTGAGGCTGCCAAACGTGCTATCAACGCCATCCTTGGAAATGCTGAGACAACAGACGAAGAATTGACAAGTGCATTGGTTGGTGCAGAAAGCCTAATCAACTCGAGGCCCCTGACCTATCAGTCAAGCCATCCGCTCGATGAGACGCCACTCGCACCCAATCATTTCCTGTTCGGCCAGATGGGAGGTGTGTTTGCTCCATCAACAGTCGACCACAAGAGCTTCAATCCTCAACGACGGTGGCGACGAGTACAAGAACTGGTGCGCCACTTCTGGGAGAGATGGATCAAGGAGTGGCTGCCAAGCCTGAGCGCCAGACAGAAGTGGAAGAAGCCTCAGCGTGAAGTTCAAGTCGGTGATGTCATGCTACTTCTGTCACCCGATAAACCACGAGGGCACTGGCCATTAGCACGAGTGCTGGAAACGTATCCAGGCCGAGACGGTCACGTACGAGTAGCGAAGGTGAAGGTTGGTGAGAAGACCTTTGTGGAACCTATTGCAAGGTTGTGCCCATTGGAAGCCACACCAGAGTGAGTAACACTGTGAACTGTAGTATGCGACACATGCAAGTGAAGTCATCGCAGTGACACATAATTGCCATTCAGTGTATCACGAGTTAGATTCTTAGTTATCTGTGTGATACTAGTAGTTCTATTGTGCCCGAACTGCTCCTTTCGGACAATGCATCTCAGTTTCGGTTGGCTGCCACCACCTTTGACATCGGATGGCGCGAGGTCCTGAAAGACGAGTCTTTGCAGCAATACCTCTCCAGTCGGCAAGTACAATGGAGATTCACGACGGAATGCGCACCTTGGCAGGGTGGCGTATACGAACGGCTTATTGGAGTAGTGAAGCGCTGCGTGAGGAAGACAATTGGCAGAAGGCTGCTCACACAGGGCAAACTTACAACAATGTTGGCAGAGGTGGAGGCTATCGTCAACACGAGGCTGCGCCCTCTAACCTACGTCCCGGGTGGGGAAGACAGCCTGGATGGAGTGGTACTTACGCCAGCCCACTTCATTGCCAACGAACGCAGCCTTGGTATTCCAATCCCCTCTGCGACACTGGAGGACATCGACTTTGCACTACACCGAGATCCCGACGATGCAATTTGCATTGCATAGATCTCCTTTATGGCACACTTTCGATATGAGATATTGAGGAAGGGGAGAATTGATAAGAAGAGCTTTTGTAGCTTTTGTTGTACTGGCTCCAGAACTAGTGAATAGCCTTCCAGTTGCCTTTTGTTCCTTTCACTATTAGTTTCGCTTGGATGATAGCATTGTGGTGCTTCTCAATGCTCTTGCTGCATCTCTATTTAGCACTTAGTTCTGCTTCTTTTGGTGCGTGACGGACATTGTTCTACTATACAACAATTGCGCGTGTATTATGTCCGTGTTGCAAGCTTTGTACGCTGCTCGTGTATAGCAGTTACATTTATCGATAGCAATAGCTGCTGCTCCTTTCCCTTCCGTAGCGTAGTGTAGAAAGTTACTAACCCCGCTGTCACACTATGAGTTTTCAGGCAGTTCTTTTTTACCTCAGCCGTGAGAGGTTTGCATTTTCTCTGCTTTCGCGATGAGTTGTCAAAGTTAGTTGACAATAAGAAAAGATCAACGTTGTCGTGTGAGTTTTTGTCGTGAGCAAACTGGGCTCCGGGTTCGTCATCATCACGCGCGGCGACGCGAAACATAGAAATAACTTGGTGTGGCCTAACAGTCAAGAACTGAAAGAGCGCAGAGAGTTATAAAGGAATGGCCAGCATACGCCTGCACACCATTATGAGGGTACAAGCAAAGTGCGGAGTGCTCCCAACGTCCTGCACTGGAGCCATTCCAAGACCAACCACACTCTGACCAGTGCCCCCCCCCCCCCCCCCGTCCCCGTTCCCTGTCGTACCTTGAACATGATATGAATATGCGAACTGTCTGCACCAACACAAGTCACAGAATCCGTATCCGCGGGGTCGAGGAATACCTGGAGAAAGGAGAGAGAAAACATCGCATCAGTGCCTGATATAATACACGAGATCTCAACTGAAACCTAAAGAAAGAAATTCAAATTCATAAGCTGTGCTGCCAAAATCCTTGATCGTGTATCAGAAACTGCAATTTTTATATTTCTAATGCCAAGATAGAAAGCAAACCGCCAAACCCCACAGTTTCAACAGGCGGTCTGTACACTGGAGATGTCTGATCAGATTCCAAAAATCTCCACCATCTTGGTTAGGCTAAATGTCCTGAATTTGAAGTTGAAAACTCGAAGGACGTCTCAAATCAGATTGACGGTACCATTGCATGCGCACAGATTACTTATTACCTTGAGCGTTCTCAAGTTAACCGAGTTGTAGTGAAAGTGCTTTAGCTCATCCAGTTTAGGAAATTTGCTGATCCCAGATGCGATGCTACATAAGATGCAGACACGCGTACACACACACACACCACACACACACACACCACACACACACACACACGCACACACACAAATCAAAGATACAAAAAACAGTTAGCAGAAAATTGCAGCATGGCTGTCTGTTTACTTCTCAACCCCAATAACATGCAGTGGTCCAAAGAGTCCAACTTTCCAGATCACTCACAGGCACAATGTGTCATGTGACAGCCCATTTCAGACACCCGGAAAACCAATATAGAAAGAAGGGTAACGCATCCCCATGCAAGTCAGCCCATGTTTAGACTCTCATCAAACATGTAGCACATGAGAATAACACATATCCATCAACATCAACACCAACACAACCAGGGCTAGAGATGGGATGGGATGGTGCTCATCATCACTGATTGTTCATGGACACAGGTGACATGCACACCTGCCGGCCATTTCAACAAGACACCTCCAATCTTACCAAAGCAAGCAGAGGGGAGGGACACGCGAACATCTGCAACACTGTTCTGACAGATTTGAACGAAACTCTCATCGCTCCAATCTCCTTTGCAATCCAAAACATGCAGGTGTCCTAACACATTGAAATTCATTCGCTTCATTTCACTCTACATAGAGTTCACCTACAGTTCATCTGGACATGGGCTAGAAGCAGCCTAGCGCAACATACACAACAGCAAAGCAGCAATACTACCACCCCAGCAGGCAGCAGCATAACTAACCCATTGTGTTCTGTCGCCATACTGACCACCACCATGTCATCAGCGCCATTGTGCAGCGGATGGTTGACATCAAACTGTGCACAGTAGGTAGACAGAACACCAGAAGAAGAGCTGAATTACATGACGTATTCGTGTTTACGGGTGTGTCAGGTCAGGCCGACACTAGGCATATGCGGATAATGTCGGCAGAAAAATTGGCAGAATTCGGTACTTTTTCTTGTAAGTTTCATGCATGTTTGGTATGTGAATAAAGAAATGGAGCAGAATTCGAGGAATTGCCCGCCATAAGGTTTGTATGGTTCTGCCAATTTCACTGCTTTTCGAGCAGAATCTGCCAACTTTTCGAGCATTATCCGCACACCCCTAGCCGACACAAACCCAGGTGACTGCTATGCACACATAGTCATAATGTTACGACTACCTTGTTCACATCTCTCATACTGCGCATGCGTAATGAAACATGGTCTTTCTTCTTGTGCAGCCGCAGATGTCGAATGCAAAAAGTGGTATAGTGAATCATGCATTACAGAGAGACATTGCTTTAACCACACGTCATTGTTCGAACAAAAGGAAACATTGCGTTTTCACAGAATTATCCGAGTGAAATAAGACAACGGAAAGATGTGCATTGTCACAGAGCCAAAAGTCCTGCTAAATACCAGTGCATTATCTTACATCTGAGTTTGATGATACCTGACTGCTTGGAGTGCCGTCAAAGGACCCAGCTTCAGAGCCACGGTCGACTGGCAGCCGGCGGATCTTTCCACCAAAGCTGATACCCTGCGCGCTAACAATATCAATGCAAAAAAGTACACCGAAAAAAAGAATATAAATATACGCATCATCAATGTGATCTGCGTAGTAAACTACCCGTATAGACAAAAGGTCGAAGGGACAGATGCGACTGCTATCCCATTTTAACAAAAAGATTGCAAACCCAAAATGTGCCATACCAATAGTGCAAGAAACAAGATTCGGATCAGGGACACATACTGCGTAAACCTTGACAGAGATCACAGTCAATTCAAGACAATTGTCTCCCTTTTCACATCCAACCTTGAACCAGGTGCAAAAGAAGCTTTGCCGCGTTCTCCCATCTCCCGAAACGTACATACAGTCCCACAGACAGAGCAACGCCACTGCCAATCATACATACTGCTCTCATCATATTGGGGCCATGCTTACAAAACCACAGCGTTTGTATTTATGCCAACACAAACACACACACACACACACACACACACACGCACATATGCACTCTCTCTCAAGAGAAGCACGCAAATCTGCAAATGCACTGGATGTGCACCCACAGATTTTCTCTTTATAGCAATGATAGCGGATCTGATTCTGATTGAAACAGATCAAGACAAGCGCCAGGTAACTGTCTAATCCACACAACTGGCGAAGCCATGTGAATTGACCCCCCAATGCACACCTGGTCTACACCACACGGAGTACATCGGAATAGGACGGCCAAGACAGCTACCTATGCACCCTACACTTGCTGGGGTAACCAGTATAGACAGCACGCTGCTTTGATAAAAGCAGACACTAGATGCACTGGTACCTTGAAGTGAAATTGGAGTTATTCTACCAACCAGCCTTGGCAACTGGGTACTGGGACGCACACACACATGCACACGCGCACGCGCGCGCGCGCGCACACACACACACACTCTCCAACACCACTTACATTCCATTTCCACCCCCTCCAGCACCAGATCCCGATACTGGCTGTCCACCACGAATGTCTGTCTCGCCTAAGAAGAACAAAAGAACACACACACACACGTTCACAAAACACAAATATAAATGAAACACGATAGGGAAACTTGTCAATCCCGACCAAACTCAAGCAACTCCAGGCTTGCGATAGAATGTCCAAAGCACATTCGGACACAATGTGGTTCTAGTAGCTGAAACCAGGTGGTTTCTTCACGGAGTTTTATTTGCACATGTACTTCTTCCGCGCAGTATATTTCCCCGCACAATCAGTGCCCACATTGAGACAAGCTTTAGTGTAAAGGGGTATAACACTCAGTCTGAACACACCGACTCGCAATGGTCTCTGCTGTGAAGAAAATAAAAAATAAAACTCCGCTCTGATACCAAATTTTCAGGTCTGGCCCATGATCAGGTTGTACAATTTAAACTGAAGGCATACAAACAAGAAAGTCATGTTCTCGTTCTGTTTTTCTGGGTTTCCTCTCTTTCTGTGGCTCTCCCATCTATTACCTTTTTCCTTCCGTTTTTTTTGTCAGTTCTAATTTTATTATACCTTTTCACTGATGGTCCTTTAACACCGTCTTTTTCTAGCAAAAATACCGTCAGCAAGGCTTTTTATTGTGTTTATTTTGCCGGTAAAAGAGGCCTGTCCATACGTGGATGTCGCTCGTACTTCTACAAGAAAAGAAGTATAAACCATGACGTGTAATAGAGCAGTGAATGGTGATGAGAAATGTGTCAGCTTGTGTGCAACTAACTTAGGTGTGGAGAATAAGATAGCTCGTTACACGCACACACAGTTACTCGTATTATCGTGCCATCAAGTGCAACATGAATGAACACTGCTTCACATATACAGCGTTTGGCGAGGGACGACTGGGTGGAGAAAATCGACGCACCGGTGATGTGTGTAGAGGAGCAAACTTGATGTAGACGGCGTTGTACTTGGTGATCTCTCCAATGGCGTGTCCGGCAATGTGTCTCCCCCTTTGTTTTCACATTAATGGCTCCAGCTCCCCACCAATACAAGCACAGTTTCGCAATTCTCTCCCCCCTTACTTTCCACGAGTTCTCTTACTCTCCACATGCACACCTCAGTAACACCCTATACTTTCTCATCATCATCAATTCATTCACTGCTCTCTTACACATCACGGTTTGCATTTCTTGGCTGTATGCCTTTAGTTTGCTAGCACAGTAAGCACAGCCTGAAGCTCTCTACACAATACAACACAGTAATATTTCCCTGACAGCGTGCGGCACGGTGGAAGAGGTACGCTGAGAAACAGTACGTCTTGATTGCAGTGCAACCATTCTTTTAAGGTTGGCAGGGTCACGGCCTATGTGACCATCCGGACCGGTTTTTACTTTTGTGTGCGTGTTCGTCCTGACCACAGGCCGCCTTGCCTACAGGGTGAACTACACACACGATGGCATGGACAAGTGTGACGTTGTGTGACTGATTGAAGCAGCATACATCCGATGACGTTCTACACATCAGTTAGTTTCTTGCGCCAAAAGACATGACTGTATAACTTGACAAATCCGGCAAGGTGAGAATTATCTCCGCACCACGCAAGCGACTGCCTCCACTGACTGTTACAATGCGACAAGCAAAGAGGGTGTACACATAGCAAGACGTCCATGGGTGACATCGTGGCTGCATACCAATGCTGTGAACTGAATTCTGGCATGCCCTATCATGTACCAGTATGGGGGGAGGGGGGCACGACCCAGAATTTTTCACACCATCACACCTTGTACACCCCCTCAACCCCCCCTCTCTCTCTCTCCACACACACACGCCATACATGGATGCCGCAATGACACTAGGACACGCATGACGTAGTCATTGCTCACTTGAATAATTGAAACTCTGGATGATGGGTAAAAGCATTCCGTGTTAGTGTGTTGGTGCTACAGTCAGTCAGTGTTCAGTAAGCTTACACTGTTACAGAAGAGAAACTGGATGTTTCCTACACGTATGACTGTATTCTAGTTGTACTGCACATAGTCATAGGGTCGTAAAACTACTTGTTGTACAGTTGTATTGCAAGGAAAACGAATTCACGACATGATGTACGATGGGACAGACACGAATTCACGATCGACATCAATCATGATCATTCCAGGGCATGGTCGAAAAGGAAGGTTAGGATTGGTTAGGATAAGGAGTCAGAAAAAGAAACGCTCGAGCTGCTGTAATTAATTCATGAAAGGAGACCGCTATTTCACCGGCATTTACAGTAAAATAAATCGGCTGGCATCGGCTTCGAGTACGAGTGCTGTGCTTGGTGCAAGATTATGTTCCACGAAATACAAACAGCGGAAACAACTGCACGCACTCAGTGAAAAGTTGAACTGATTTTATTCCAGAAACATTGGGCAAAGGAGGCGAAGGCGCTAGTAATGAAGCATCTGGCGCAACCAAGTGCATTCAAGGCGCTCACTTCAAAGCTCCCCGAGCGTAACACTAACTGAGGGCGAGGCCATCTATCCCACTAGTACTAAACTCTAAAGAGACCGAACTGCAAAGGCAACCACGCAAATCTACTTGCTAGCGCAACACTAGCTAGCCGCGGTGGGCAGCCTCAGCTGCAAGCGAAACGGCTACATCAAATCGGTAGAATGCTGGCTGGCCGCCTTGCAGAAGCCGAGAAGGCCACAGCACAGGAGCAAAACAGACCCAACGCTGCCCACTCGGTCACCTTCTGGACAGCTCCGTGACGGCGCAGTGTCAACGACTTCGATTCAGTTTGAACGACGTCCATGCCGGTCATGTCAGCAGCGCCAACTCTGCTGACCACTGCGCACACAAACTACCACTGAACGCATCAGGCAGGCAGCAAAACAATGCCACTGCACTGCCACTACATTGCCACAGAACGCTAGTAATTCCCCCTGGCCAGCACAGTCCCAGAACATGGGCACCGACAAAATCGATCGCCTCAGACTTCTCGTCCTGGTTATTTCGCCATCATTAATTAACAGGCTACTCTGGGAAAGCAAGTGCACACCACCCAAACGGTTAGTCCGACCGACAAGATCATCCAACGTGCACCCTCGAAGGCTAAAGAAGTGTGAATGTAGCCAGTGTGAAGAATACAGCGCGGATAGTGACCAAATCTCATTCAAAAACCAGCTAACTACTTACTTCGTGACAGAACGCGACGTACACCCCCACATGATCCAGACTTGGACGCGTGACAAGTGAAAGAACGCAAAGAGAACGGCGGCTCGACACTCCACTATTAAAAATTATTTTACTTCTCAAGACTAGCGAGACGCAATGATGCTAAACAGACGTAATGCAAGGGTACCATCGACAAGAAACGAAGCGGGCGGAAAGGATACGAAACTTCTCACACGCAAGCACGAGTAGCGTAGGCACTCGACACAAGGGATTCTTGTCCAACACAATCAAGGTATAGCAGAACAAACATGCCACCAACATGCGGGACAGACTTCACAAATTCACTGATAACACTAGCAGTGCTTACTTTGGAGAGTGGCTAGCCTATCATTCTTTGGCAGATTGGCCAAGGTCGGATCGTACGCTGTCCAACGCGATATTGTCCCATGTTGCGGGCTGGGTTTTGGCCATCTAACATCCTCAGCGGCTGCGTCATGGCTGAAACGCCATTTCGGCAAGCAACCAGGCTGCACTGGCGCAGAATCCATCCGCACTGGGCCGCCGTTCCTCGCCAGCTCGAAGCTTCAAGCGACTCAGTATTCTTCTTGGCAGCAACACGTATTCCAAACAAGCTACACCAGTCCCACCATTCAACGGAAACGAAAAAAACAACGGCCTGTTTTTGCTCAACGAAGCACCACTTCATACACGAAAAGTACACGGAGCAGAGCGATTACTAAAATCACACACATTATAACACGGGCACACAAATGTCAGTGATACACACATGCACAGACTCATGTCATGAGCTCAGTACAGACTAGACTGTCAGTCACAGACTCACAGCCGGGCCTGGGATCGGAGAGGAGTAGAGTCACAACGACAGCACTCCACCACCAGGCACCACTGCACTAGCTAGTACTAGTAGTAGTAGTAACCGCACTACCACTGACAGACTCAGTAGACTCTACCAGTTCTGAATCTGATCGTAGTTCTACTAGTAGTAGTAGATCTACTACTTCTAGTACTAGTACTAGTACTAGTAGTAGTAGTACTAGCAGTAGATCTACTGGTAGTAGATCTATCCGAGTCTGATCTGATCTGATAATTATGAACTCAGCCTCAGCCTTCAGCCTAGCCTGCCTCAGGTCAGTCAGGTCGGGAAGTCCACCGGCGTGACCATGGTGACTGCTACGGCGCGCCGCACCCCGGCGAGTCTGCCAATGACAATGCGTTTGGTTGGGCATTTTGTCTAGTACCAGAGGCTGAGATCACACTCACCACCGCCGCACCGGTGCACCGCGGTGGTTTTCCAGAAATGAGTAGAAGCAAAAAACCACACTCGCAGCCACAATAGATAATAGCCGAAAAACATCCAAATCAGAATGTAAATGACAACCATTCAGGAATGGGAATGGGTAAGAATCACCTGACCAAACAAACGCGCCAGAATCAACTAGGAATCACCTGGCATGACAATTCCGTGGTGTTGTTGCGGAACGGAGGCTCTCTTCTATTTTACCCGACTCTTAGTTTCCTTGAGAGAGTCAAGGTACATGTACTTCTGAGTGCATGACTTGAGGCACTTGAACCTGATGCTACATGTACACGTACATTGTTTGGGTCGTGGCAACCATTATCATTTTTGATTCCGGAATGAGAATGCTCATTCCTGAGCATGTTAGGTGGAATGATGATTCTCCAAAAAGAATCAAGTTCAGCGATTCCCATTCTGGAATGGGACCAACCTAACGCACTTTTTTGACCAACCAAACAGGCGAGAATGATTCCGAGTGATTCCCATTTGGGAATGTGACCAACCAAACGTAACCTCAGCCTAACACTAACACTAGTAAACAGGCAGAGGGCTAGGGGTGAGAGCCAGAGACTAGAGAAGTAAGAGAGGGCTCACCCGCGCCCTCAGACTGAATACAGTGGCTAGATCCTCACCCATTCGGACAGGGTAGAATTGTTGTGATGCCATGCAGTGCGCCGCAGCAGTCACGGAGTGGACTTTTTGTTGACGGGTCTGGGCTGCTAAGCAACTTTAAATTAAATCAAGTACCAAGCTCGTCGCCATTCACCCGGCTTTCTATGGAACATAATCATAGTTCTTCCAGCTACATTGGACATGCACTCAGTCCCCGAACAGCTACTGTTTCGATCCTGAAAGTTGTAGCCTGCAGGCACGGTGACCAGGCGACTGGTGTACGCACGAGCACGTGATCGCTCCATCGCAGCCTTTTCGGACCAAAACCAGTTGACTCAGCGTCCAAAAGACTACAGTCTGTATCGGCTATAGAGTGACCGGATATAAGAATATATCGGCTACAGTGATATTGGTACGAAATATCAAAATCATAACGTATTTTATCCAGTAAAAATATCACTATAACCAATATTATCGGATGTAATGATTTATACCCAGCTCATATTAACCCCCACTAATTCCTGTGATCTATAACTGGTGAATATATCTCCATATTCACCACTTTAACTTTGCTATATTACCCACTTAGAGGTTGTAACTTTTCAACTTTCAAGGGACTTAGAAATTTTCTCTCCAATTGAAAAAGAAAAAAAATTGAAGAGAAGAAAGAAGTTTCAGCAGGAATCGAACCTGTAACCATAAGATTCCCAAGCACCTATCTTGACCACCCAGCCACCAGGATGATGATGCATATGTTGGTTGAAAGATAGGTCTTAGGTCTGGAACACGCAATGCTACCTACACATAATAGTATACTATAGTATATCGAGATACTAAAATAGCTATTTCGGACCAGTATTTCAGGCCAAAAACGAAGCTAGGTATAAATAGAATAAACACCTCTGTCTTGTGTTTATGGGAATATAAACACTGTCTATAAAAACCGAGGCGTAGCCGAGGTTTTTATAGCAGTGTTTATATTCCCATCAACACTACGACATCGGTGTTTATTCTATACATATCGGATATTATGATGGCAACAAAGAATCAAAACATGCATAACACACTATATTATTATCGGCTATAGTGATAACTTTAGAATACATGTAGCAATAATATCAAAGGCCCTATTTTTTTACTTTCTTCACGTTGCTTATTTTATAGTGATACATGTACATGTACATAACAGAATTTTTTTTATGGAAATGCGGGCACTGTCAACTACTAGTATGCAGCATGCTCATTTGTCAAAACGCCATACTGGAAGTATTTCCTTGCCTTTCATGTGTCGATCGGAAAAGAAAGAAAAAATCGATCGTATCGCATATAGTGATGCATCGGTTATAGTGATAAAATCACGGAAATCAAAAGGGTACACTATAGCCGATACAGACTGTACAACAGATGGGCCAATCGCGGTCATCCGTGCTTTTATAAGAACGCAATGGCGCTTTTAGTGAGATTTTGCATACAACCCCCCATCTATAATTTGTAGTAGGGCGCAGTCACCCAGTTTCGGTGGAAGTGGCGAGTTCGATTGGGAATAAAGGAGGAAGGGAGCGTCTCAGCTTCCTCGGACCAAGACCATTCGACTCAGCACCCCAAAGACTACAACTGGTGAACATTTGACTTTAGACTAGGGTATACCCCTTAAAAACAACCGGCCCTGCAAGAAGACACCACCTGCCTTTAGAGAAGAAGGGAAATGATAACTAAAAAGTGGTTATTGAACACCTACAAATTAGGCTACAATTGTTATCAATTTTAAAATGTTGTCGGTTATAGCAAGTACAGTCAGACCTCGTTTATCCGGTCCTCTTTTATCCGGATCCCTCGCCATCCGGAAGAAAAATCGTTGGCTACCAATTTACAACATATGTCATCAAGAGTACATAACCCCCTCCCCTCTCCCTCCCCCCCCCCCCCCAGAGTGTGCAACACCTGATCCAGCTCTGCATAGGGTCTTGGTCGAGCGTGATCGGATCTTCTGATGTCATGCGTACACTCCACACCAGCGCAAGGCCGGTCTCGAGGCAGGGCACCGTTATTTATGATCCGAGAGTACCCGCGACTCTACGGGTCCCCCTTAGATGTGTACGGTATTATGACGCAAAGATCCGATTACGCTCGACCAAGACCCTATGCAGAGCTGGATCAGGCGTTGCACACTCTGGGGGGTTATGTACTCTTGATGCCATGCATGCACACAGTATGTGTGTTCGACTATCCGGTTCCCTCGCCTATCCGGATATTTTTAGTGGAAAACGGATGCAGTGTGTGGTTAAGAGAGGTCTGACTGTATAATATTATTCAGGCGTTCAGGTTCATTAAGCGGGTGCTACTTTCCTCTCTTGTTAAAACACACACACACACACACAACGAAGCAAGTCAAAATAATGAGGCCACGGAGCCCAGACCACTTGGAATCATAGGTCTCCGCCATACATATCATGACTAGCGCTGTGAGTGGCTTGACCCGACTATATTGGTGGCTAAAAAGCCATCCCCAGCATTTGCTAAGCACATTTTGCAACTGTTAGCGAGTGTCTAGTACAACCATAACGAGTAAGTGACGTAAACGGCACGATTGTTTCACCCCTGCTTCAAAGAGCGGTCATCGCAAGCACCAAACTACAGATGAAGCATCCTTTAACTATCACAGAAGCACTATCAAAAAATATGTGCTGTGCTAAAAGGAAGGTCAACTGTTAGCGATATGATCATCGTCATCATCATGATGTATGAGAACCAGACCAGAACTGTTGAAAAAAAGGTCATTCATATCACCACGAAGTAGCATATTGTATAACATATTCATTGGTTTGAGGGAAAGATGCAAACGGGAAAAGTCTGAAGAGAAAAATGACTGTCATCACCAGGACTCGAACCAGGGACGTTCGCTTGAGAGTCCTAATAACATTAGACCAATAGCTAAGATATAATTATCATTCCAAACCATCACCATTATCAACATCATCATCATCATCATCATCATCATCATCATCATCACAATAAGCTGTCAATTATACTTCAAATATAATTTAAAAAGAGAACAGCATTGGCATCTTCATTGCCAAACAACATGCCCCAGGCCGGCTGAATGAAAATCAAGCAGTGTAAGTGCAATGCAATACCTATGTAGGTTCATTCAAAGTTCATTCGCACGTCTGGGGAGAATGTTGAAATCTGCTCCATGCAGTACGTGTAGAGAATATCACAATCAGCGATGTTATTGCTCAAGTCCTCTTACATTACTTGTGGTGTTAGTTCTTTGGATTCCCCGGGCAGAGTAAGCAGCACGGATTTAAGTCAAGGCCCTGCAAAACATGTGAATGTCATGGGTTGTAGATGATGTACAGTTAGACTGTTAGAGCCAGTTAACAATAGTACGGGGCCAGAACGTGGTGGGTCACGGAGGGGCGCACATGGCTGGAATCCGGCCTGGGTGTTCTGATAACATTTTATTCAGTTTGAATTAGTTTAGAACATGCAGCATATGATCACTAGCAAGTGCCCCACCCGTGCCAAACTTTCATGCGATATCCGTTCAGGCGAGCAAAGCATCCACTATCTTGCTGGTCCACACGTACAATAAGCGCTGGTCACACATAGTGCCCTTTCCCAAATGGAAATTCGACACAGAAACACACACATACCGACACTCGTGCATGTAGCTAATGGGCGCTACGAGGCTTGCGACACACCCATACAATAGCAGCCCTGCCACTGGACAGCTGAGTCTGTCTATCAGTGATGCGCATAGGGTGTAGTTAGATTGGATAGGGCACTGGGGCGCATGGATTGACAACCAGGCATGGCCGCATTGTTAGGAAGTGTCCTACAGAAACCCCAATTCACTTCAGTTGGCATCAAAAGTCATGCGAAATTAATATTAATAAAT